CGGCTTAATTACGGTGATGAAGGTGAGAGAGAGAGAGAGAGAGAGAGAGAGAGAGAGAGAGAGAGAGAGAGAGAGAGAGAGAGAGAGAGAGAGAGAGAGAGAGAGAGAGAGGGAGGGAAAGAGAGAGAGAGAGAGAGAGAGAGAGAGAGAGAGAGAGAGAGAGAGAGAGAGAGAGAGAGAGAGAGAGAGAGAGAGAGAGAGGGGGGGGGGGGGGTGAGAGAGGGTGAGCGAAAGAGCGTGTAGGTAAAAGAAACAATGAATGATAGTCGAAGTGATTGGGGAAAAAAAACGAAAGCTTAATGAATGGCATAATAAAAAAAATAATAATAAATAAAATGAAAATTGAAACGAATGTCAATATAAAGAAAAAAAAAAGAAAACTGAAACGCATGTCACTATAAAGAAAAAAAATGGAAAATGAAATGGTTGAGAGAACGAAAATTAAAACAACTGAATTAACGAAAATTAATGCCATGAATGGAAGAATAAAAAAATAAATAAATAACTGAAAGAAGGAAATCTGAAATAAATAAAAAAAAACGAAAGTGAACGAAATAATGAAAACTGAACGAAAAAAGTAGACGTGAAGAATCATTAATATTAATGTTTGGTTCGACTAGCAATAAAAGACAGAAAAGAAAAGTGAATAAACGGGAAAAGACGTGGAATAAGAGGAGAAACGAAGACAAAAGGAAAAGGAGAAAAGGAATGACGAGAAAATGTAATAAATAAAAAACAGAAAACATAACCGAAAAGAATACAAAAAAAGAAACACAGATATAACAAGGAAACTAAATACAAACAAAAGAAGAAAAGCCAAAAATAGAAGAAGAGGAGGAATGAAAATCGAGGGTCCGGTCACAACGAACACGGAACAAAGAGAGGCTGGATGAAGGGGACGAGAGGGAAAAGGTCAAGAAATATGGAAATAAACAAAGATAACAAATGGAGAGGAAGGGGAAGGCGAACGAGGAGAGACGAAGAAAATAAATAAGTAGAAACGGGACAAGGTGCGAGGGAAAACGAAGAAGGGGGAGAGCGAGAACCGAAAAAGACAGAAAACGGAGATAGAAATAACTGAATAAATAAACCCAACTGAGCGAATAAGATAAAGATGATAAAGGACAGGAGCGAAGAGAATGAAGAATACCGAATGTCTTAAAAAATGGCTTAAGTCAAAAACAAACAACAGTTACAAACAACAAACTCTAGATCCAACAAATAACGACCAATATTCAGAAACAAACAAGCACGAGAAACAACACAAACCTATATTTCAAAATTGCAAAAACAAAAGAAAAAGGAAAACAAAAAACGAAAAATAAAACAATTAAAATCATCTTAACACGACCAAAAAAATACGAACACCAACATCTAAAACCAACAAAACCAATGAAATCAAAAGAAATCTAAACGTAAACAAACAGCAGCAAAACAACCAACCGAACTCCACCCGAATCGCGGTATCCTTCAAGAGCGCCTCCCGGGAGCACGAATAGCAGAGCCGTCGCCATAACGAATGCCATAGGAAATATCCCATCAGGACCCCACGTGTAAACATCCTCAACCCAGCGCCCAGGTCTCTTGCTGTTTACACATTGATTAACCTCTCAGCTATTTGTATTAATGAGAAATCGTGGGGTTTGATTCACCTGTTACGGATCGTAATAAATACAAATGCTATCAGAGACAGGTAGATTCATTTCATTAGGTCGATAAACAGCAAGACCAGATAGTGACTATGTCTTATACGCGATACACAGTTCCCTTCATTTCAACAGTGTATGTGATGTATCCTTTGTGTTGTTTATAACCAACTACCTCGGCCAACAGCCTCGTCCGTTTTATCTATTCTCTCTACTTCTAAGGCAATCCTTCGTAGGTGTAGGACGACCGTGTCACCATGTTCATTTTTCTTCATATTTCAGGCAGTCTCATACCATATATTTACAATCTCTAGGATACATAATAGCACGTTTCTTCCTGTAATGTAAAAAGGGGCAGTGTGATCGATCTTGTCAAACGAAGAAATTCCGGGATAGTTAGTGCAATTAGCCTATCCGAAAAATATATATTTTTATTACATATTTCTAGCTATAAGCAGGATTTCTATAACCCTCCAAGCCTGCCATTGAATACAGACAAAATGGCCTTGTTGTTCACAAACTTTTTTATATAATGTATTATATATAACTACACGACAAGGGATGCCATCATAATCACCAGCTTTATCACAACAGACTGCAAGCAGAGGTCACGGTGCGGGAGGTGAAGAATCTGATTCATAAATTTCAAATAATGAGCTCTAATGCCTGATATTAAGATCGTGGATATGAGTCCTGACATTCTTTCCGAGATGGAGAGGGAGAGGAGGCGGGAGAAGGAGAGGGGAAGGGGGAGGGGTAGGGGGAGGGGGAGGGAGAGGGAGAGGAGGAGGAGGGGGGGAGGGGGAGGGAGAGGGGGAGGGGGGGGGGGAGGGGGAGGGGGAGAGGGAGAGGAA